ATCAGAGCAGCTAAAAACATACGCCGACCACAGGTTGCAGGATCATTATTTTGACATGAATTTTGGATCACATCTGGAGGATGTTCGGAAGTTGGTGTAGGAGGCAATTCGGGGCGTTGAGATAATAAAGCGATTTTATGTTTAATTCTAAACAAATAGAATAATGCTGTTTGGAGTGTTGAATAAGAGGTGCGAGAACGTCTCAAAGTTTCCTGAAGAAACACACGTAAAGTAATAATTTTCGCATTCGGGCTAATGGCAAAATTTGCCCAAATTACCTCCATAATAAGGCCAGCAGTGTCTAAAATAAGAATAATATTACAAGATATTTTTAAGATTAAATAAATAGGTAAGAATGAAAATCTACTACTTACCGACTAGATTTTCAACAAAAGCAGCCTTTCTATGTTTTTCACTTATCAAAGATGGAATTATATTGAGAATAGAAAATTCTTGATTAACGTTTTCTAGAGCATCAGGATGATTGGTAACCGTTGAAGGATCATGAACGGTATTAGCCGTATTGGCAGGAACCATAGAAGCATTGTTAAGGTCAGTGGTTGACATATGCGAATCATGATAATTCTTATCATCAGACACCTTGTCGACGCATTCCGAAAAATTATTGACAGTTTTGTGTTGAGAAGTCAAATGGAACTCAGGAGACTTAACTAAAAAAGAAATTGTAGCAGCAGAACGTGCCGATTGTAAAGTCTTATCCGGAATTCCAGACTGAGAAGGGCTCGAAGAGGATTTTGAACTTTGTAAAGCTTTACTTTGCAAAGCTTTAGAATTCCTACAAGACCGACGCCCGAAATATGAAGGAGCGTGACAGGTGGGAAGCGAGATAGTAGAACTCTGAGGCCGTAGCTTTTCTTGCATGTCTATGACATGTTTGCTCTGTTGTTGAGTCGATTGCTGCGGCGAGACACTTTGTAACTGGAAACTACACTCATTTAATTTTCTACGTTTTTGAGCAAATGGTTGAAGTTGTTGGTGCTGTTGTTCTATCTGTTGAAAATGATAACTTCTTTTCAAAACATTCTCCATTGACTGTAGCTGCAAGGCCACAGTCAAAGAGTTGCACTTCTCGCTCGAATAGTCTACCACATTTTGAATGCTCATGTTTACAATCACCTTGTCGAAATATCATCAAGAATTATTTTATTCAAAGGCTTTACACCAAAAATAGCATTTCTTAGGAAAGAGAATTATTTTGAGAATAAAGGTTAGATAAGAGGAAATGAAGTTGGAATACGCAGTACGTAGTAATTAAGTTAAAACTTCAAAAAAAAATGGGCGAAAGATAATAATGAACGCCGCAGACAAACCGCAGTTTATCTTTACTATATCTGGTATTGTATTTACTACAAACGATCATTTTCAGTAAGCAACTCTTTAGACACTCTTTTGTATTGTACCACCTAATGATATTTCATTAGATAATAAAGTTGCAGTTGCACTTGCTACACTTTTACAACAATTGCAAGTACGTCGTATGTACGTACGTACGTACATACATTACCGTGATATCTCATGACGAAGAAACAAGCATTTCTTCCACGATAATGCTGCGGTAATTAACGTTAATTAATTCAATTCCCGATATGCATTTTTTGTATTACTTAATAGCGTGATGAAGTTGTCATTATAATAGATGTGATATCACGTATCTGACCTATAATTAACGTTTAAAAATTGTTACACTATAAATAAGATTATAAAAATATGTTTCGGTTTATGTTTGATTCTTTTAATTAGAATTTTTCTTTTTTGAAAAAGTTTCAAAGTTTAATTTCTAAGGTTTATTTGACGCGTTTATCATTTTAACGATTAAATATGACGACAGTTTTAAAGAAAAAAACCGAGCTTCCAAATGTTATTTTTGTTAAGCTTCATAAAGAAGATTTATGGAAAAAAACAGAACTTAAAGTAGAAGGTCAGTGTGTTGCCCAAATTTCATAGCTTAAGTGGTGGGCGTGGTTTCTTTTTCAAATATTTCAGATTATTTCAAGTATATTATCCGTAGTCACGGAACCACCTAAACAAACTGTTTCACCTGAGACCATACTTGGCGACGCGTCCACTGTAACCCAAGAAACAGATTTAATGAATTTTGACGATGAAGTCATCAATAACAATATTGCCACACCAAATACAAAAATTAATGTTGAGCCTTCGCCAAGTATAATCGATATTCTTTTGTGTGATCCCACTTTTGGTTCTAATAATTCAAAGAATAATGTGACACGAACCCTGAGAATACATGAACATGGAAAAAAAGCACTTGTGGAGAAATCATCTGAAAAAGAAAGGGTTAAACAATCTACCGTAATTGAAGCCAAATTCCATGTGGGACAAGGTAAATTCATGGATGATAATGGTGCACAAGTACGAACCGATTATCCTCGTGCTACCACCAATACAACCATAAAAAAAGATGTTCGAGATGAAATCCTTCCTGTGAAATCTACAAAACTAGTTAATTATACAACGAAACCGGATTCAAATGTTAAGCCGAGAAAAAGAAAAGTTTACACTTTTACGGAATTGATTTTATATAAATATTCTCCGCTTACAAAAGAAACCAGATGTGACTTTAGTCCCGAAGCTACAGAATGTAATGTATTGTTAGACAACAAACATAACACGGAAAATGAATCAAATCGTTTGCCAGGTCGTCGTCGAAACAGCGATCACAATGGCCGTGTATATGGTGAAAGTAATCTTTACATGGCACCGGCCTTCAGAAAGATTTACGAGTTACCACCTGATATATCATTTATTAACGAATTGATAGTCGCACAAAATCGATGGATAGCTTTGGTGCTTGAGAAAGAACTACAAAAAGCAAGATGTTCTCTCGGAAAGTGTATGAATACGACATCTCATATTCAAGCAAAGGATTCGAGTGATGAAAATCGTGTAACACAAGATCTCCATGATCATGAGACTACAAGACCACGAAAGGCTGTACGATTCCTAGAAATCAATGAAAATGATTGATAACATTAATATTTTGGTGATGTTC